GCTAGGTTCTGTCCACATTCCTGTTTTGGTGAAAACCAGTCATTAGAAACGTAGCACCGGCTGTTGTGTGCGGCTTCATCTGCTTCGTGTGGCCCTCGTAGCTTGTATAGCTTTCGTTATTCCTTCTTAACCAGAATCGGTCGCGGCATACCAGGCAAATTTTTGAAGGAACCCTGCCAGATACCAACGATTTCTTCAGCTGCCACCTTAACAGACGCCACTGACTAATGACTTAAGCGATCTACGCAGAGCTAAGTTAACCGCCACAACAACAAAAACCGACCGGCTAATCCCCTGTAAGTCCCTCTGCAAGTGTTGCCCGCTAAAGAGTTGTATATCCTTTTCCTCGAGCAAAGTCTATTACCAAGTCTCGGTAGTGTATGCGGAAAAGGAGAAGAGCCTGTCAAGTGCTGTAATCGGCGATTTACTGTAGTATTGTTGACGTCGGTAAATTCCATGTTGACATTTAGCCAGATTTCCTTAGTTCATGTGAAGAGTGAGGCGGCAGATTTTGCCGCATTAAGGAATCTAATATGATCGAAGAGGTAACCAGTAGGAATCGTCGAATTGCATAAAAGTATTAGAACGCCGAAACAACAACTCTTGGTCAGAAAGACCCTAGTATACCAATACATAGAACCGGATGACGTGGGAGTACATGTCGGATCCCTTAAACCCATCCCTCTCATGTCGGACACCGTCGAAACAGCAAATTTTCTGAGCCTCTCGTTAGTTAAGATTGGCGTAAACATTTAATAGGCTAGTCGAACTACGACAACAGCTACAAGGTAAGTAGTAGCGTGGGCCGAAAATCCGCTTTTTTAGTATTTTGATTCGTAACATGACAATTTTCGGTCAATATCCTTAGGCTCGCCCAAGTCCATCAAAGTTCAAGTGCTTAAAAAATTGTTTCTTAGCTTGCATCGATTCTCTACAAAAAAGGTCCGTATACCAAATTATGTAGGACTAGTACTTTCAAGATACTTGCAATTTTATTAAAAAAAGTATTAATTAATTTTTAATTTTTGTGCACACTGAGCTTTGATGGACTTGGGCGAGCCTAAGATATTGACCAAAAATTTTCATCTTTCACACAGCTTGTTTTTAGAGCATAATGAACCAAATTTTTGCTATTACCAATAAGAATTCTAAAAAACGGATTTTCGGCCCAAGCTAGTAAGCACACATATGCAGGTATTTTGGTTTGTTGCCCAGAGGGTATAGTCGTCGTTGTAGGAAGTGAAATTAATTCCAGCTGGCGGCAAAGGGATCTGGGAGATATTGAGGTACACCGTCTTGGGTAACCCCTATTAAATACTATTCAGAGCCTGCTCCTAAGTATATCCAGTACTTTATTCTAGGACCACTGACAGGCAACAAACGCCATTTATAGAAACACCATCACATCTTCCCTAGCTCTCGTCCCGTTAATGCTGTTATAGTTCTACCCCCACCTATTGCAGAGGGAGAGTTTTACCTGTTTCGCGAGACCCGTGGTACTCTGACACAATTACAGTCCGTAATTGTGGATTGTAATAAGTTAAACTCATAATTGTTGCAGCGGCGCTACTAAGCTCTGCCTAAAGCGGCTTGTCTTTCAATCGTTGTTGTCAAGGTCAATTTTTCATGCATCCAGGAAACGTGTTGTTTCGCGAGATCAAACAGAGACGGGTGTTAGCTGAATGAGCTTAAGAGGGGCAATCAAAGAAGTGGTTGTTGTCGTGTGGGTATGTGTATGTTGGGTTTATCGAGGTAAAATCTAGTAGGAATTAAGTCTGCCACAGTATCGTCGCGGTAGCTGGAGCCCTTCGTCTACGACGGGTAGTGGTTAAGCTCCAATAACGGCACTCACAAAAGGAGAGTTGTTATTCAGACCTACAAAGCACAACCACTGGGCGCAATGTTGCACCGAAAAGCCCTAAACGAAATTCATCGAAAAACAATCTAACTTTGCTATCGATGATGAATTTCTGCTGTAATTAAATGGTAGAAAATATTTCTATGGCATTTTAAAAAGTTCAAAAAATCGGGCTCCAGACAAACGCATTATTTTCATTAAGTAAATGAATTAAAAAATACAAGATTTTAAAGTGATTGAAAGTTTACACTTTAATAGGAATTTGAGTTCTTATAAAAATGTACATTTGTAAAAATACGTTTTGTTAAATAAAAAATTGTATCAATTCTTATTTTATTTTAAGGCACTTCCTTCCACATACTTTTAGATTATATTCAAATTGGTAAAACATCTAAAACGTTTACCAAAACTTTGCATACTTGAGTTTTGAGGGAGCGTTTGCAATGCCAGCTTTTAGCTAAGAACAAAAATACATATGCACATAGGTATTCAACAAATTGAGCAAGTGGCAAAGAGAAACAGCCGTTGTTTGAGCTAATCTGCTATTTGGCAAAGGGCCAGGTCACTTGCTCTATTAGGTGAATACTCTATTTTTTTTTTATTGAAAACAGCAGCTTTGGAGTGAAGTTTCGCATTCTTATACAGCCGATACCTAAACAGAAGAACATTTCAAAAAAGCACCATCAACCGCAAGCTGACATTGTAAAAACTTCTAAGTAAGTATACCTAACTAAAAACAGTTATGTATGTTTATATAGTTAAAGTTTTTTTTTTAACAAAATCGGCGCGATTGCTTAAAAATATATTTAAAATTAAAATTCACAAAATTTACCACTAAGCGTTACGGATGGATGTACATATATTTACATACATAAAATCTTTAAATATATGAGGCATCTTAATCAATGCAAATTAAGCCATTCGATATACAAAAATATACGCATCTTATTTTGCTGTAAATTTCTTTGAAATTTAATAAAATGTACGCAAGGATCAAACAGTGCACCTTTAAAATACACTTAGGGCCTTCATAAATTGTTTTTTTTTTTAACTAGATTTGTGTTTAAAAGGCGGTTGAATTTTAAAAGCAACTTGAAAAACGGTCCTTATTGTTAAACAATTTGCTGGCTAGTCTGCAGTAAGTAATGATACATATGTATATACATACATATGTAATTCCATTGGTAGTTTCATGCTGTCCATTTTGTGACTGACCGTTGCTTAAAAACACACCAAACGTTGCTTAAAAATAAAAAATAAAAGCTTATAAAAAATACGAAATTTTCTTTAGTGAATTAATCGCTAGTTTGGTAAAAAAAATTAAATTACTGTAAATTATCAGCGTACATACAGTAGTGGCCATATAACTAGGGATACTTCTTCTTTACAAGTTTTAACCAACCAAGTTTTAACGAAAACCATGTAAATGAAAGTTTCAAACCTTGAAAAAGATTTATGAAACTTAGCCACATTTCAAAAAATGGTCATCAAACTTTCAAACATTTTAATCAGAATTTCTAGGAAAAATTCGGGTATGCAGTCTTGTAGCGCATTGAGAACTTTTTTTGCTGACAGTGTTGCTCATTTTCTCCTATATAAAAAAAAATATATTCCACCATATTTTGTATGAAGGAAAACGGGTAACAGCGTCGGCAAAAAAATCTCAAAGTGTATTCTTAGCCGTTTCAAGCTAAGACAATATTATAATAAAAAGAAAAATAAAATAAATAACCCAAACTTGTAAAGAAGTAGTGTCCTTATTTATGTGCCCACCACTGTACATACGTAAATATGCACACACATAAAATTTACTCATATAATCCTTACATATACATGTATAACAATAAGTAACATTAACGTAACACGTAACAAATGAATTTGTTATCACAATCAGTCATGCTTTACTCAAATAGTATTGTCAAAAAATATATACATACATACATATATATGTATACATGTACAAACATATATTGCAAATGCTATTGATCGGCTTTCTGGCAATATATTTAGAAACTTTGTAGTTTGTAATGCGGCTCACTCATTTATGGTAGCCGGCAGATCATTGTTTTTATTCATATCTTCTTCAATGTCCATTCTGAAATAAAGTAAGAAGAAATTGAAAATAGAAAACTTAATATCAAAATACGCAGGGGCATATTCATAGTCAAAATAAAGTCGACTAGTTGCAACTTTTTGAAAAAATTTTCAAATGGAATATCTGTAAAAAAAGCTGCAACTAACTTAAGAGTCGATTTTATTTTGACTATAAATATGCCCCACAATATTTAAAAGTTGAATCTACATACAAATCTCTGTAGGGACAGAGAAGGGATGGGTTGGCGGCCGTGGTTGGGTACTAAAGCTAATACTAAACCTAAAGGCTATATATATATATATATACATAAATACACTTTAATTTGTCTGTGTAGGTCCAAAATATCTGGCTATGACCTTTAACACTCTCAAACAGATGCCAAAGAGCAAACTACCTGTCGTTACTATAATATAGGAAGGCCCTAACACATATAGTCGCTGAAATGCAAAAAAGCCGAAACTGACTAAAATTTTTTATTGCTTAAGATGATGTGAGGACTTATAATTTCGATGAAATGCATCATAATCAATCAAAAAGGTTTTTTTTTTGGATTTTACTTACTTACGGCTTTTTGTATTTTAGCGAAGATGCGAGATAGGGGTTTCTATATTAAGGTAACATATATTAAAATTATTTTTTACTTAACCGATCTCTTCCTGTAGCTCCTTAAATACCATGCAAATACTATGTCTTGTTTCATCTCTTGAGAGCTCTGCCTTACACTTATATAGAATTACCAAAACCCAGCGGTAATGCAATTATAATATTTATTAATATAATTGTAAAACTTACTGCACTATCATTCCAGTCACTTCTTCGATCAAGGGCGTAACAGGATAGTGAAGAAGTTCGCTAATGCTGTTCTCTACGTCTGCATTGCCATTAAGGAATTTCGTTGACACTCCATCCTGTGCTAATTTGGTACTTTGTTCTTTACCACCTTTGTAAATGTCAATAATTTTGGTGTGAAAAACTATAGTACTTTGCGTTAAATTATTTCCCATTTCCTCTAATTGACGCAAACTATTATCGACAATATTTCGTAACTTCAAGAACTCCTGATTCACTGAAGTAATGTCGGAGTAGGCAAATTTTAAGTGCGGACTTTTTAAGGCATTTTCTCTTTCACCTAAGCACGCGTACACAGCTGTTTTGCAAGCCTCTAAGCGCTCCTTTTCAGTAACTCTGACTTTCTGCACTGTTTCAAGATGACGTCTAAACTCGAGGCTGAAAGGTCACGGAAACAATGTTATAAAAAAATAGATGAATTAAGCTTACTATTGTGAGCTCTTACAGCTTATATGCGTCTTTATTCTTTAGCTGGGCGAAAAATGGATTTACTGCCATTTCTTTGGCACGCCGCAATCCAGATTTATAGTAACGGCTGACCTTGGTTTTAAGTCCATTCAAAGTAGCGATATCTTCTTTAAACTTCCACGCTTTCGCGCACCATTGGTTGAAGAAATTGTCGCAATTTCCAATCTAAAAAAATATTGTTCAAAAGTTTATATTGTTTAATAAATGAGCTTTAAATCAGTGCACAGTATTTGCAGTATCACCTGCGTCAAGCACGCCCGCTGTGCCGCTTCTACGCTCATGCAAAATTGTTCTACACGACCATGCATGTCGGTGAGCGTTGTAAAATATTGCTGCAAAGGTCTTCCCTTATCTTCTGCATCGAATTGGAATATTTCGTGCTCCATGGTCAGAGCATATTCTTTCAAACCACTAACAAATGCTTCTAGTTGGAGCTGCTCATTACCAAGCATAAAATGTGTACTTTGTTCGATAGTTTTCAACAGCCAATTTGGTATTTCTTTTCGGGCATTCAAATATTTTTTTAAATTGACTGGAATTTCCGGCTGCGTTACCTGGTATTCTCTGCATTTCATGTCATCTATATACAGCATCGCTGGCGGACTATCGCTATCACGATTATTTTGCCATTCTTCGACGAAAAAGTCGATCGCCCTGTAGGTGTGAGAAAGCACTGTTCTGGGATGGCCAGTCGGGAAAATACAAAACATATCTTCTATGCCGGTGTCTCTCTTGACAAGCTCTCTAAAATCTGAAAGTGTCATCTGTTCTGTGATTTCCCATGCATAAAATTTCAAAGTGGGTAAAACGAAAACCGTCAATACTTTTTGTGCCAAAATACGATCCAAATCGGTATAAAATATAAGGACACGCTCCTTGGTTTCCGGTACTAGTCGCGTACCGCGCGTGTGGTAATTCTGATCTAATGCTATAGTTAACCAATCTTCAATATTAGTTAAAAATACTTTACTCATGTGATTCTCAATTGGCATTTTCTCATGGAAAACATATTTCAGTTCATTTATGTCCTCTGTAATAGCAATGCATTTTTCTTTTTTCTTACGTATATTTGTTACTATATCATACAGCTGTTGATGTGGTATGAATGGCAAATTGCCACACATCAATTCGAATGCAATTATACCCAGCGACCAATAGTCTACAGTATTCTTATAGTGGGCCGTATCCAAGACTTCTGGTGCAACATAGTTGCGGGTGCCAACAATACTTTTTAGCATTGTATTTTCAGTAATGTTACGGGCGAAGCCGAAATCAGTGAGCTAAGAGTGAAAAAGAAAAACAAATTATTGCAGAGGAGTAAAAAATACCTAATAAACACGAAATTGTTTACCTTATAGATCCGGCGCCCATCCGCCGCATTATGAATGACCACATTATCCGGCTTGAGATCTCGATGTTCGATGCGACATTTTGTGTGCAAAAACTCAATGGCATGACGAAGCGCATGCAATATCTCGCGTACCTTGAACTCCGCCAACCCATTGATGTTTTGCACCAGTTGTAATTGTGCGCGTAAGTCACCGCCGTTGCAGTATTCCATGACGATAGGCTGTAGTGGTCGCCAGGCATGGCGTTCTGTGAGGTATGCGATAAACTGTGGTTCAACCTGATCATTCAAACCGCGCACTATGTAAGGAGCTTGCAATTGCGTCATCCATTCGCGCTCTTGCTGCCAACGTTGCTGGAGTTTGACGATTTCATCCTGGCTGAGATTGGCATTTTCCTTCAAACTCTTTGTTGCTGTTAGAATTTGTAAAAAAAAAAAATAAAAATTTAAAATAGTCTGCATCAAGTTTTTGTGTTGTAAGTACATGTCTACAAAAGCTAATTGGTAAGAACTGGCTTGCGTTAGCAGTTGATGACCTAAAAACTAGATTTTTAATAGTCAACGATTTCCAAAAATATATTCTGGACTGAGTTTTGCAGCGACTAAGGTAGAAATTTGGTCACAAACGACCCAAGTATACTTTAGACATGGAGCGAGCTCTCATCCAGGCTTTCTGATGGCAACAGCGGTGGCGCGTTTGATAAATAATCCAGACAAATATATAGTGACGACGTCACGACCCTCCACACGAATCAAACGAGGTAAGCACAGTAATAATACGGCTTAAATACGGCATGGGTCCGACGGCATACCAGCTGACCTTCGCATAGCCAGCGGCGCAGACTTAGAAAACGCACCTTTAAAATATGGGTAATTTAACAAAGTTAATTTAATTTGCAATTAACGGCCAAATACAAATAAACAAAGAATATTTTTTTATTAGGTTTGTTCCATACGAGTCCGCGGGATACCGCGGGTGCCGTTATAGGGAAATGAAGATGGAAGCGGGACGTATTTGCCGCAATAAGAAGGCAGAGGCCTAAATACGTCAGAGCGAAGAGCTTGAAATTCTAGCCGACAGCAAAAACGCTCACAACTTTTATCAGAGAGTTAGGCGACTTACGGAAGGTTTCAAGACCGGGGCGAACTCCTATAGGAACAACCAACGACCGATGTCCAGAACGTTTATCAAATTATGGAGGAACACTTTTCCACGTTATTGAATGGCAGCAGCATTTAAAGTAGTGGAGCCCCCAGTCAATGATAATGGAGTCGATGACCAGCGATTTGAATGCGTCAAAAGAGCAGCGAAAAAGTTATTTTTAAATAGTAACATTACTTTGATTTAAATGAAGCCTTAACGTAGAAAACGCTTACTTAAATTTAATTTCTTGTATTTTATTGTTATAAAATGTTTGTGATACAAATATCAACTAAGGAATTAATATTTATATTTATTTTCTGTACTTTGCTTTATAACAAAAATATAAAAAGATATTGAATTTTTGATTTGAATTTGAAATCTAAAAAAAGGTTCACATTCCCGGTTCTCCTTGGAATCGGACTATAAGGAACCGGTTCTTTAAATACTCGGAACCGCATATCAATAATGTGCATACCCGCATGTATTAATGTATGTATGTATGTATGTTTGTATGTACTTATGTACATGTACATGCACTTATGTATATGCATATACATATTAATCCAAAGTTTTGTTTATAAACAAGGAAATCTGAAAACTTTGTAATATCTACGTAAGTAATCTATATGTACATGTATACATTTTCATATATACAGTGGTGGTAATATAAATAGAGCAGCGACATTTTAACAAATTTTGGCCTATTTCTATATATTTTATATTTCAAACTTTGTAAAAAGGTTATAAAACTACGCAAAACTGCATCTAAATTTTCAACATTCTAATCAGATTTATAGCGCATTAAATTTTAGTATAATAAAGTGTAAGTTTTAAGTAACTAAAAAATCTTCTTGATTTTTGACAATTTTTTCAGGCATATTCCATACAAAATATGTTACACATTTTTTTTTAATTAGAAAAAAAACGTGTTACATTTAGAAAAAATAAATCAAAATGATGTGTTTTTATGTTACACATTTTTTTTAATTAGCAAAAAACGTGTTACATTTAGAAAAAAATCAAAGTGATGTGTTTTTATTATCTTAGCCATGGGTGTATACATTTTTACATTCATGCACACATACATACATATGTATGTATTGTACATGTTTATTTATAAATGTGGGATATAAAAAACGAAATATTGTTGATTACAAACAGTTTAATTTGTATGTGTACAGACATATTTTTGTATGAAAATATATGTTCATACAAGCATATGCAAGTGCATACGTTGCGCCTATATACTTAGCCACAATTCATTGTATTATTCTGGAAGTAAAGTTAATTTTTAACTCTTTTCGATACAAATGACAACGACAGCTTTTCAAAATTAGTTTAGTGTTCTAAAGATATAATAAAATGCAATTTCGACCAAAAGCGTACACCCATATGTGGATCTTTCTTTAAATGATGGCCAAAATTGAATTTAATAAATACTAAGACTACAAGGATTCAAGTATTTAAGGGGCCCACAATACTAATTTCAAAGTGGCCGGGACGGGTGTTTTCGGGAAGTTCTGCGGGCGGGACGGAACAAATCAGTTTCCACGACATTCCCAAAAACCAGCAACTTCCGAAAATTCAGAAAATCTTCTTTGAAAACGTAGTATCTAAATAGCACTGTGTAAAATTATATTAAGACAAAAACGAGCGGCAAGCAAAACCTGAAAGAATAACCTGAAAATAATCTATAATCTTATAACTCGATCCTACAAATCGTACACTTTCTTCAAAATTATATTAATTCAGTATTTATATTATCTTATCAAAAAACAATTTTTTAAATAGGTGGCAACCCGCCAAAAAAATATTTTCGGCAATAAATAATAAATAATATTAAATGATTTAAATTTGTTTGATTTTATTCCTTTTTAATTTTTTAATATATTTGAGTTTGACAAAAATGACACACAAATACACAAAGCAAATGTTGCCTTGTCATCGCCCTCTTCTTGGTGTTTGCGCGTAGAGGGCCAAAGGTTGCATTTTCCGGTAGAAACGAAATCGGCATAAGCCATAGTATCGCACTTTTAGTCTGTCCCTACATACATACATACAAGTCCTTTTCCCGGCAAAACTTGTTATGTGCTTCTTATCGACGGCAGCGTTTCAATTCCAAATAGCGACCATTTTTTTAGCAGCAAATGTAAATATTTGATAGTGAAATACAACATAATATGCACATATAAATTAATATATGCTTATGTTCATATGCAGTGTTGCCAGTTTAGCCTTTTTGAGGCTAGAGCTTTTTTCTTTGTCGTTTAGCTGCTAAATTTAGTATTTGGCTTCAGGGCTTTTTTCTAGCCTTTTCTTATTTGCAAACGAGCTTTTTAACCCTTAAGCAGTGTTTTAAATTTACCCCTTCCTATAATGTTTTGGGTTATTTTGATCCAATAATAGAAATTAGTCAATTTTAAGAAAAACGAAGATTGAATTCAGTTAATATTTTATTTATCACATGCAGGAACTTTATCAACAGGTGTTGTATGCTTATCTGTTCAAAGTTGCCGTTAAATACTAAATAAGAATTTGGGTCAAAATGACCTAGAAACACTGTGGGTGTATGGAAAAACTATGTTGTCTTCTAGAAAATAAAATAAAATAAAAAACTCTTTTTTTTTGCAAAACCACTGATTACGCTTTTAGCGAATAGACAACGCCGCAGCTTATTTAAAATTACCTAACTCTGTAATTAAAGGTTTTCATGAAAATTGGGTCATTTTGACCCAATCATTGCTCCACAATATTTGTATCAGTACTAAATTATTGTTCCGGTTCAGTTTTACTTGACGAAATATTAAGCGAATATCACCCGGCGGCATCGCTTTGTCCAACCAAATTTACTCAGCGAACTCGTTCTTTATACTTCAACAGTTTTTTCAGCGCAGTGTCCACATAAAACCAGGAAAAGCATGTTATTTCTTAGAACACCGCAGCCCACGGGAATTTGACGTCATTCGACTACATCGTGAGGGAGAAAGGTAGTTAGTTGCCGCTGCTACGCCGTAGCCATTCGAGGATCCTTAGTCTCTTTATCGCCTCTGCTATTGCGTCAGATGCTGCCGATCATTTTTCGCTGCTTTGTAGCATAGCCTCCACGAGTGACTCAGGCGTGAAACTCTCGCCAGAAATTTTGCAAGTCTGCATCTGGTACTGTCAAATCGTATACACTCAAAACAGACGTATTCTATTAACCTCAGTAGTCTCATGGTCCTCGCGCGTTAAAGTTTGAAGCCGTCTAAAGTTTCTATCATTGCCGTTTCTGCTTCATTTTCGTGTGCGCGCTCCAATTGAAACTTTAACGATTGTAATCGTATTGAATGTATGAAGATATTTGGTGGTAAAAATTTACCATTACTTTGTCTTTAAGAACTATGGGCTTTCAGACCCTAAAAAAAAGAGTCCCCTTTATTATTAAAATAGTTTTATTAAACGGTATGGTGTTCAAAAATGTTTGCACAAGGCTTTCATGAAATTTCATGATCGTAAATACTTTGGTTTTGAGGTATTTACATTTTTGTTGCTCGGTTGTACATTTGTACCACCTCTTTGTACAAAAGAGTTAAAGACATTTTGAAAAGACTGGCCTTTTTTAACCTCTTTTTTTTCGCTTTTGGCCGATTTAACTTCTTTTTTTTTGAAGTCCTGGCAACACTGTTCATATGGCTGTATTATCAATTATTCAATCATCAAGTAAATTTAACTTCCATTGTATTTGTTTTTCAAAAGATTACAAGATCATGTGCCCTAAAGGTTTTTGAAAAGAGCTCAGTATTGCAAAATGTAAAAATTATATGCACTTCAGATGATCAGAAACTTACCGATTTTCTACTATCAACAAGAAGAACGAAGTCGATACTTCTGGAGGGATTACTATCAAGGCATTGTTTGCTAGCAGCACATGCGTTTAAACTAACTCTTATAGATCACAAAAAGTTTAGGAAGTGTAACTAGCAGGGGAAACGATGGGACATACACATAATTTCTGAGTGCCTTCAGCAGCCAAAGGTTCGCGTTAAGCTCCGCAGGGCCTACAGTCAGCAATCGACAAAGAACCAAGTGTCTTCAATAACGTCCTAACTCAGAATTCGGTTCAAAAACGCCAACCAAATTCTGAAATAGGGTGTTTTTCAATTAAATTCTAAAATAGGGCGTTCTTCAATCAAATTTTGAAGTAGTGCGTTCTTGAATTCTGAGAAGGGTTTTCGAACTGGCTGCCGAGATATGTCGATATTCCACTCAGGTGTCGTTATATTGTTACTATTCATAAATGGGATTTTCGAACTTAAAAATGGGATAAGCAGAGCGTTTTTAAAAGGATGATAGGATTTTCGGACCTTTGCAGTTGGCAACACTGCCAAAGTAGACAAAAACGTACTTCCCAATATGTCTTCTAGAAGGGAGTTTCCTATTTATAACTCAAGCTAAAGCATTGCTTTATATTTTTTAGCGTTACAAACAGGGTTGCCACTTTGGTAAATTATTACCAAAATTGGTAGAAAAAATGTGAGTTGGTAAAAAGATATATTTTTTTCTCATTTTGGTAGATTTTTGTTAAAGTATTTTGATTGAAAACAAATATTTTTTTTGTTATACTAAAATTCCAAAATTATTTTAAAAATTCTGAGTAAAAAGTTCTAAATGTTGTAAATAGCTTGATCCTTGATTTTTATGGTTTTGGTTAAAGCGCAAATAATATTCTTATATAAAAAAATAGCACACAAAATTTACATGAAAAACATTTCTGACATATAAAAAATACATAGCGGTTTTTTGAGTCACTGTATTTGTCTATTATAACTCTATTTGAAGTGTTTTTAAAAGATAAAGTTTCGTTGTTCCCTATAGTTTCATCACTTTCGTTTTGGTTGAAGAAAACCGAGACGACGCCAATAATATGATCTCAAACACACCACATCATTAGTTAAATAAAAAGTTCCTTAATAAACAATTTTAATGTTTGATGAAATAACTAAACAAATAGAACAAAAATATAGTTTTTGTTCTCTTAAAACAACTAAAAAAGTTATTGGTACATACATATTTTCCAGATTTGGTAGATTTTTTTTTCAAGTGGATGGTAAGTATTTTTTTCTGGTAGTGGCAACCCTGGTTACAAATGAATTTCAATATGCATTTTCAATCACAATAAAACGTAAGTATTTGATATGAATATCTTACAGAAGTATCACTTTTCTGAATTAAAGAGGCAGCTTTAGAAGAATTCCTTCAAAAGCCCTTGCGAACTACGCCCTACAACAGCCTTTCTATGAGAAGCAAAAGCAGAAGCCCTTCAATTTGTACCACTCCATTGAAAATGTGAACGAGAAAGGAATGCAGAGTTGAAGGCGATTTTT